TCTCCCCACCCCTGCCTACCTGGGGCCAGGGAGGGCCTTTGTGGGGCTTCCTTGCACTCCTGCCGGCCTTGCAGGTCCACCGCCGGGCCCCTCATGGGGCTCGGCAGTGGAGCTGCAAGGCCGGCGGTGGCGGCCGGGACCGTTGGGGACGGGGTGTGTGGCCTTATGACACACTTCCGGCGATGTCAGGGAGTGTGGCATATGCTAATGAGTTATGCTAATGAGTTCCCCTAGCTCTTTTTCTATGAAACGACCCCTGGTAACATCAGTTATTTTTCCCAACTGTAAAATGTTTTTCTTTTTAATACTACCAGGTAGACTGTTATCAGTTCTATAATACAGAAGGTTCTTATTTACTTCATAAAAAACACACACCACACACCAAAAAACAAAAACTACTGAATTTGGAAGCAAGAGGAACTGAACTTTTCTTTACAGTACAATCCTGCTCAGTTTTAAAACCATAACACCCACATGCAGGAATTTAAAATTATTATTTTTCCATTAATAGAATATTGTAACAGATGTCTCCCTCTCTAATTCTCAGCTCAATAAGATCTCAGTACAGACCATTTAAGTGTCATTTTATCCTAATTTGAATTTAAAGCTTGTCTTGAAAGAGTCACTCATATACTCAATGGATATATTTATGTATATTACACACATGGAATTGCATGAATGTTGGTAATTTCAAGGGAATCTTGATAGAGTGAGCTTAGCTTGGAAGCCATTACACTGGCTATCCCAAGTTTATTTCTGCTCTTATGAGTGTTTAGGATACAAATTACCAAAGCAAGCAGGAAACTTGAAAATCTGTGTGATCATTGCATTTAGAGCCACCTATTTTTTTCCTTTAGAACCATTTATGTTTCTTTTTAAAACTATTATTATGATCTACTTATGAAGCAAGCCATAGAGCATGAATCAAAAAAATCCACAGAATGGGGCTAGAGACAGACAGCTGGGACTTTCAACAATCCTGGGAGAAAGATATGATATACAAAAAACACATCGGGGTTAGAAAAGCCCCCAAGTCACAGAAGCAATGTCTACTACTAAAAAAAAATGTCCCACTGAGACCAAGCATGACTACACTGTAAGATCTTGGCAGCCTTTTTAGGGGTTGCTAAGCAAGCTGCAACCAACATTGCAGAGGATTCCAAGCCTCAGTTAGTGTCAGCACAGCAGAGGTAGGGAGAGACAGACTAAAAGAGGTAGGATGGAGGAAAGGTAAAGCTAGAGTAGGAGGGGGCAAAAAGGAAAAGCTGAAATGCAGAAGTGAAACAGAAAAAAAATAGGAGAGTGAGTGAGGGCAGAGGTTGCCAGGTATGGGGCAGAAAAATGTATGTATTTTATTTCTTTATTTATCATTACATTTATATCCCGCTGCCCCCCACCCCCCACACCATTCAGCAGGCTCAGGGCAGCTAACAGCACATACAAAAATACATTAAAATTCTGTTAAAACTATCAATCAATGTCAAGTCAAGTTTATTAGTACGGTCAAGCGACCAGCCAATATATAACATTACCAGAGGAATAATAATATAAGATAGACTATAAATACATAAAATTCAAATCAATCAATGTAAAATCATACAACTTATATTAAAAGATGGTGAGTCTTCTGATATCGGCTGTCAAATAAACACTGTCCACCGCCTCACGCCCAACTATAAAGCCTCAGTTGGCGGCGCCGTTGGTACTGTCGGTGCCAATAGTGGTACAGTTGTTGACACAGTTGGTAATCAGCTGGTAATCAGGTCAGGGCTAGGGCCAGGGCCATGCGATCGAGGCAGCACCCTACTTAAAAGCCTGGCAGCCCTGCGGCTGTATAAAAGGCCCTGTGGGACTGTTTTGCAGGCCCTGCGGAACTGTCACCAGTGAGGGGCCGTCACAGAGAAGGCCCTGGCGGTCATTATCACCAACCTGGCCTCTTTAGGCCCTGGAAGAACCAGGCGATTTTGGAAACCAAATCTTAGTGTTCGCTGGTGTACACGCAGGGAAAGGCGGTCCCTTAGGTGGGCTTGGAGAGAAGTAAAGGGCAGGAAGAGCTGAAGAAGGAAAGAAGAGAAAGATGTAGATAAATGGGTAAGGAGGGAAGGAAGGTGGAAAGGCTATAGGCTCTGCTGGGGGGAGGAAAGAGAAAAGAAGAAGAGAGGGAATGGGGAAATAAGATATCCCCTTTTGTGTCCTCACGGGTCCTACACATACAGACTACTTATTCAGCAATGACAGCGCTGAAAGATTAATCAAAATTCAATGTCACAATAAAAAACACAGTTAACAACAATTAAACTTAAGAGAAATGTAAACAGTCAGCCAGACTTATTTACTAAGTACTCAGCTCAACACACATTCCCCCCCCCCCCAAGTCTTCCAACCCTTCTGGAAAGTTAAGAAGTAGCTTTCCTCATCTATTAAATTTGGTTGTGATACTGGGAGAGTATCAAGGTTTAAATGGGTATGTATTTAGGACTGAATTTTCTGCTTTTATCCACTCACCTGACATGTTAAAAGCAAAAGTGTTCACCAAAGACTCTTTGCCACTTTACAAAGAACATTTTTAACAGCCATTTTTAATAAAACAAAACTTCTTCAATTGGGTTTTATGCAGGTGAAAACAAATTAGCCTGTTAAAAATAGCTTAGTGCATTTGCCTTTGACTTTTCCAGCAGTTTCCAGTAAGGCAATTCTAAATCCCCTCGTACCTTGTGAAATGCACAGATGTAGCTTTCATCGTATTTTCTTACAACAAACATTGGTGAAAAAATGTAATATGTTGCAAATCTATTAAAACATGTCCATGCATCTATTTGGATGGTAATCAGATCAGAGTTTAAAAAATAATATCTAGACAAATTAATCTTTGTTTCCTGAGTATTAGGTTACAGAGCACATTTTTAAAATCTGGTGCAATACATTATAATGGAAAGGCCTTAATTAGAAAAGAAAATCATTTAATGCAACACTTCAGTCTGGTGAGATTTTGCAGATCCATCCTCTCAATGAAAATCGCCAAGTTATCCCCTCTTATTCCAGCTATTCATATTTCTGCCTTAAGTACTGAATTCATAGCAGATTCCTGTGCTGAAATTGTTTGGTGGCTGGAAATTGTCTGATGTCCAACTTTGCTATTATGTCATGAGGAATGTTGTAAATCTTTGTGAAATTCCTGAGTCAGGTGGCAAGGATACAGTATTTTGTCTGTCCTGGATCTGTTTGGTGGCTATTCTGCACTGAGAAGTCTTGCCTAATTTAAAGATCAGAACACTTCAGAAATAAGACTTCCGGTGGATGGCAGCACACTGAGCAGTCGCATCTCCCAGACCTCCCGGGGATGTGAGCTGCGCACGAACTAGAAGGAGGGGGTACGCAGGCTCATTGCCCCCCAAGAGGCCCGGTGAAGGGCTTCTAGCCAGGGGGCTTTCGAGAGGTCGGCTCTTCGCCAGTGCGATGCTGGGGAATTGAGGCGTCTCTTTGCCCCGATGGTCCCTCCTGCGAGTTTCCATATGGAACTAGTGATGCTGACCGGGACAAGTGCTGGGGTTCGAGCGGTCGAATCAGAGACTAAGCGAGGTCGGAAGACCAATATGAACGTGAGTCGGATTAAAGTGTCTTTAACAATCTAAAAAGAAAGCTCCCCACCCCACAGACCGTGAAGTGAAGTGAGCCGGGGGAGGGGCCCCTCCCATGCGCATGAACTTTTAAGCGGAAAAACAGGGGGGAGCGGAAGTGAAAGCGTTGAAATCTGTTGAGAAAAACTTACCAAGGCGTGTATAAGCATTTGACCGCACATTCAGAGACTTTAGAAACTGCAGCGAAAGTAAACAGTAAACATCGATAAAAGATGGCGGGGAAGAAGACGGAAAAGGAAAAACTTTTAAAACCGAAAGGGGAGAGCCCAAGACCAGAAGGAACCACCGAGCTGGCTAAAATGTTAGCAGAATCTCTGCACCCCCTGCTGGAACAGATGACTAACATCAAGGAACAGTTGTCTACAATGACCAAATGTATCACCACCCAGCAATTACAAGTGAATGAGACTCTTAAAATCACAGAGCAAACAGCTGAGAAGGTGAAAGAAGTTGACGCCACTACCCAAAAGGTGAAGAAAAAGGTATAAAAATTGGAAAAGAAGAAAGTCTCCACAGAAGAACAACTTTTACAGCTGCAAATGGAGAAGGCAAACCTGGTCCTCCGATTCCAGGGTGTCCCGGAATCTAAAGGAGAGAATCTGAAACAAATGTTGAGTGAAGCATTAGCCCCGGTGACAGATTTGACGGCGAAGTACTTGATGAGAGAAATGGATGTGGCCTATAGGTCATATTCCATATATACCGTATATATAAAAAAATCTGCCTGGGGAAATAGTAATGAGCTTCTCGAAGAGACATGTGAGGGATACTATCCTGAGAGCGACGACAGGGACAACCTTGAAAATCGGGGATCTGTAAAGACATCCCAATCGGGGATCTTTAAAGACATCCCAATTGGAATAAGACAAAGGAGAAGGAAATACAATCCTTTTTCTTCAAACAAACACAATTAGTTACCGGTGGTTGCATCCAGAGGGTGTAACCTTCAAACTTCAAGATAAAAAGGAAAAGATTGACTCTGTTTCCAAAGCACGGGACTTTTTGAAAATCGAGATGGGCGAGCAAGAGAAAGGTGATAAAGAGGACAGTAAGTCCAGTGGCAAGCTGGACTCGGGGTCTTCTGGAGGGGCTCTCTGTCAGAGAAGGGGGCAGCGGCTCCTAAAAGTCCTTATAAACTGCAAAGAAGACAGTATAAGAAGAAATGAAGGCTGAAGGA